ATGTGTAGTCATACCAAAATTCTAGACATGCGTACGATCTGACAAAATCAGTTAGTACACCATATTACAGAGCTAACAATACATATGAACAGACCCACTAAACCTGAGAATAGAAGTGTTGCATTTGGGCTTATGCATGCTTCAGCATATTGTGGAATGTCAGTTGGTCCAGTTTTAGGAGGTATTATTGTTGAGGTATATTTTCGAGATATTGATCAAGAAAACTTTATGTTATTGCTATAATACTTATTTTTATATTATTTAGGCTACGGGATCGGCACTTTCAGTATTCTATGTGGTTATTGGTGCACTATCTGTATTTTATATTTTCGCATCATTTATACTTCCAGAATCTCTTTCGCCAGAGATACGTCGTCAAAATGAATCAACAGTTTCTTTACCATCACCAAAATATATATTTTCAGCTTTGATCATTCTTAATCAAACGCCTATATATTCTGAAGGTGTTAGAAATAATATATGGAAGAGAAATACTCTGTACATTCTTTCAATAATTTATTTTATCTATAGATTATCACAAGCTGGTAATGGTTTTGTATTTTTTTTTGGAATTTGGTATTTGATTCATAAAGTGAATGTGTTGAAAAAAATGAGTTAAATCGAGTTTTTTTTTTTTTTTGTATCGAAAAAACCCCAAATTTAGGTTTTAGTAATTAATGAAAATTATGTAAGCTGCCAAAATACGTTCTTTTATATATATGGAGATAAATCTATTTGAATCTGCAAATCTACAACTTTTACAGTAAGTTCTACAAAAATCGATTATGGAAAATAGCTATTTTAAATAACCAAACAGTCGTTTTCTGTACAAAAACTTTAAAAGCATAGTGGAAATTTGCTTTGATTGGTTATCAATTTCTATTGAAAATCACCATTACACAATATTATTTATATTGTTTATAATAGAGTTTTTTGACTCCGAAATATACAAAAAAAACTTTAATCAAAGCTATCTAAAATTTTGCAAGATTATATTTTAAAACCATATCTTTTATATAAGCATTTGGGATCGCGTGGGATCGCGTGGGATCGCGTGTTCCACCGACTTTTATTAGAGACGATTCTGACAATGCCAGTAGGTAACACAAAATTTCTAGTAGAAAACGATATAAGTAAAGTTTCGAATTTCACGTGAACAAGTTATATGTGTGCGAAAGATAATAAAGATTATCAATACCTTAAAGCAGTGATGGTAAATGACTAGGTCATTTGCTCAAATGACTAATGACCTCGAGTCATCAAATAATGACCAGGTCATTAG